TCATTTTCAAATTGTTTGTCATAAATCAACATCTCAGGAAAATGTTATGGGGTTTCAAATCAAAATATGAGCTTCTGTTACGAAACAGGACATCATTTCATACATGTCCACTGTAGAGGACACCAGGACTAAAATCATGTTTATTATACATTTTGGGAGACAAAATAATTGAATAGGAAAACAAATTATGTATCAATATTCTTATGAAATATTAGATATTATTATGAAAATCTGGCCAATGACTACTCCCATTATTACACTTCTTTTTTCAACATGCTGTCCCAACAGCACTTTAATATGCAAATTAGATACAGTGTATAGATAACATTGTGCTAAATGGGAAAACCAGTTTATGGAATTTTTACACACATATTGCATAAAGCAAAATGGTATATCAAATCATTTTGTTATATATTTTATAACATAGTTGAGAACCATCCTTAAACAAAGTTAGTTATAAAAAAATCCTGAAACCTAAAAATTGATTGGCGATTAAAAAAAAAATTCCATTGTTTAAGCTTTTTCATGTCTACTCTTGTCATTTTATTTTTAGAAAAACTGAGTCCTGGTGTCCTCTACAGAGGACATATCATAACTTATGAATAAAATATAATTTTCCAAAAATGTTATTTTACCATTTTTTTCTTATGCTCTAAACAGTGTAGTGACATGAAAAAATACTAAATTCACAAAGCTTTTTATTTCTGGTTCTCAGGAGGATATTAAAGGAAAATAAAATGGTAACGCTTTAGTTTAGGGACCAATTCTTACTAGTAACTTGCTTATTAGCATGCTTGGATGTTTAGTACTTAAAAAGCATTGACATGTATTCTGCATGACCATATTTTAGATGTCTTAAACCTATACCCATACCTAACTTAACAACTACCTTACTAACTATTAATAGCAGCAAATTAGAAGTTTACTGAGGTACATTTCGTAGTTAATAGTGAGAATGTGTCCCTAAACTAAGGTGTGACCAAGGAAAGTACATTAAACGTGACAATCAAATAGATGTACACTAAAAGTAGTGCAGAAAAGAGGAGTGGACGCACCTGACAAAATATGGTGAAGCAAAAAAAAAAAAAGAGGAAATTTAAATACAGTGCTGAATGCTGATTGCGTGTACTCTTTGCCATATGATTAAAATCCCAAACTCCTCCCCTCTGCTGCCGGGGCGGGATCTGACGCGTTCGGATCCGCCCTGATGTCCCGATGACAGCACGGACAAGATGGCGGCCAGCTGGGAAGTGAAGTGAGGATGTCAACATCATTTCTTCAGTTCAAACAAGTCGGGATTTTCACCACCCACCGCCTCGATCAATCCGCGATATAGTTCATGTTCCGTGCGTCTGTTTTAGGAGCCGAAACCGGGGCATTTTTACGCAAACGCACGCATGTTTTTGCGCTATGTTTTGGAAATCCGTTTGCGCAAAGAGGACCATCAACTCTCGACGAGCGATCTGGCCTGCGTGAACCTCCAAACCCCACTCCAGGGGTCATCAAAAAGAGCCTTTCAACATCCGATCGCACGCTACATCGACTGAAACTCTGCGATCGGTCCGATCGACGCTGTTTTGATTGGCGTTTGCGGTGATTTCCGCGAGGAAGAGCAGCGGTTCTCATTAAAGCTGCGGAAGTGGAGGAGAGGTTTTCACGCCAGTCATCTTTCAGATGCACTTTCTGTCCAGTGGATGCTCTTTGCTCCATTTATCCAGCTGTAAAACATCTAAGACCGCATTAAACTCGGGCAAACGGGATCCAGGGGTGCATTAGCTGTATTTTGTCCGGAAACCGTGTTTTTTGCTGACTTGCTGGCCAGTTTTAGTGGTTAAAGTTACGCCATGGCTCATTCTCCAGTGCAGGGCAGTCTGCCTGGGATGCAGGTAAAGATACACACACCATCTTTTATTTAAAGTCTACTGTGGAACATATTAAGGTTTTTAAAGTGTATATGTATGTTGTAATATCCCTCACTTTCATAAGCTTAAGAGTTTCTACTCTCTGATAAGTTGCAGAAGACCATAAATCTGTTTGACTCCCTCTTTGTCTAATTTGTTAAATAGTGGTAACGTTAAACATAAACTTGTGTTATGCAGTATGTGTATTATTGCACTGTACATGCAGGGTACTTTCAGTCTTGTAGATGCCACTGGAACCCTAAATATGATATGTGCCATTCTAATAATGTAAAAGGCTGCTATATATTTTCTCACATAAATAACCAATTTATACTGTGAATGATTTAATTATAAGTTAGTTTATGGACAGTATTATTTGGAAAATATTTCAGAAATATTGTTGCATTTTTATATATTTTTTTTCTGCTTTAGTCCTGTGCTCTTAGATGATTTTATTTAAATAATTTTAATTTTTAATACATTTATTTAGTTATTTAATCTTAAGTATTATTTAGTTTTACATTTTTTAAAAACTATAATATATATATATATATATATATATATAT